CAATATCCCCTTCTCCTCTTCGTCCTCCTCGTCATCTTTGCCCGCCTCCCCCGCCCCCTCTTCTCATCCATTGGCCCTCCTTGTCCTCTTCGCCACCCCTCTCCTCACCATTCGTCCTTCTACTTCCCCCGTTCCCCCGCTCCTCCTGGGCTTCTGCCTCCCCCTTCGCCCATCGAGGGGTCGCGCCCCGTTGCTCGTTGGCGAACGCTACGTCTCTCGCCCCCGCTTGTGGGAGTTGGGGGCTGCGGCGATCGCCTCCTGCGACGGGACGCAACCCCTCTTGTGCGTTTCGGTGCCCGCCACCCCACCGCCCGTCCCTTAGCGTTTGTTGTTGGCCTGGGTTTGGGCTATTGAGTGAACGCTCCGCGGCCGGCCCAGGGCCGCGGCGCCCCTACAGAATCGGGTTGGTGATCTTAGGATTGGAAGCGCGGTCGCGCATCCTCTCGGGGCCCTGGGGGCTTGTTTCTCTCTCGGTGGCCAGTCCGAGAACGCTTCGTCGTTGCCGCCGCTGGCCCCATCCTCCTCTCCTTACATCCCTTCTGCTCCTCCTCTTCGCCCTTCGCCTCCCCCTCCTCCTCCTCATCATCCTCCGCCGCTCTCCTCGTCCTCGTCCTCCTCCTCCCCCTCTTCCACCTCTCCTTCTCCTCCTCCTTCTTCCCCGCCCCCCCCTCTTGGGTGGCCCCTCCAGCCGCGGCTCGGTCGCGCAGTTAAGTGCGCCGTTTTCGACATCCCCCGCCCCGAGGACATCGTGATCGATCATGTGCTGTCGGAGTCCTTCGAGGGCAGCGCGGCCGATTGCGTCCGCAGTTTCGCCGTCGACGGCGCCGCTAGCTTCCACGACCCGAACGGTGTTTTCCAGAAGATATTGGCGGCGCTGCAGAAGCAGAAGGAGTCGATGAGCTCGAGTGCGAAGGTCGCGCACTTTGCCACGGCGGCGGCGGACTGGGCCCGCGGGAACCGCGGGGGGGGGGGAATTCACGAGCGCTTACTGGCTGGAGCAGCTGGCGCTCGCCGCGAAGGGCTTCGAGGGCATGTGCTTGTCGGCGGCGGATTCGAGCTCTCGCGAGGCAGCCTCGATTGAGGTGCTCGGGGTCCTGAGTGATATCCTGTGCGGCAGCGCTACCAACACGCATTCAGCTTCAGTGGCAGAGTTGAAAGAGATCTGCACGATTGCGAGTGCTTGCAAGGCGATGGTGGCACATTATGAGCCCTCGGGGGAGATGCCATTCGTTGCCTCGTTCACGGAGAACGTGGACTTGGTCGAGTCCTTGCAGAAGTACATGTGCCTGCCCGACGACGCTGCCGCGCGGGCCAGGGCGGGCGAGAGCTTGGCGACGACCACGGAGGCGAAGGCGGCGTTCGACAGTCTTCTGAAGGCCACTCGTCGTCGTCGTCGTCGTTACCTTCCGTGATCTCCTCCTGGCTTGTCCCTCCTCCAGCCTCCCTGCCAGCCCCCCCTTTCCCACTCCCGTGCGTAGCGAAGCTGCCAGATGCGTGGAGCGGGCGCGGGAGCGGGGGGCTGGCCGGGGCTGAAGGGGGGGGGGGCACGCGGGCATGAAGACAGTTCAGGGCCAGGGGTTCGTAGGGGAGGCGTGCGCGGCCAGGGCCGTCAGCGCATGTTATCTGCTCCAGCTTCTTGCCCTCATTCGTTTGCCCGCTCTCCTCCTAAGCCCTCCTGGCGTCTCCTCGCCATCCCAGGCGTTTGGCGCGGGAGCGAGACGGGTGGTCGGGGAGGGGTGAGGGTCGACGAATGAGGGCGGGTAGAGTGGAGCAGGTGGCGCGTGCGTGACTCTAAAGTTGCCCCCCTCTCCCCCCATCGTGCCCCGTGCCATCGGCCACCCCTATCCCCGTGTGGGCGCACGGCGTTCTCTCGACTTACGTCGCCTGCAGCCTCCCCCATCCTTCTCCTCCTCGAGGCTGCTGGCGCCGCGGCTTCCACTCGCCTGGAGCAGTGGCAGGTCGCGCTGCGGTCCCGCATCGCTGCTCAGGGCGAGGCCGACCCCCCTGCGAAGCGCCAGGAGCTCGAGGAGGCCGCCATCCCGCTCGAGAGGCTGCAGTACGGGACTCCGCGCGGCGAGCTCTGGTCAGTGGGCATCGGTGCCGACGCCACGCTCGATGCTTTGTTGGCACATGCTGGCGATTCAATCCTCGCGGATCTCTCGGCCCCGTCGACGGCGAAGCAGAATGCAGGCGCGCTCTCGGCCAGAGAGACGGAGTGGACGGCGGCCGCCAAGCTGCACGATCAGTTGGAGGTGGCGGTCGCCGAGAAATATCTGCGCGCGGTCATGCACGCGCAGGCGCGCGTTTCGGAGGCTGTGACGCCGATGGCTTTGCGTGAATGCGGCGACCGCCCCATGGAGCCCAAGCGGCTTCTCAATGCAGGGAAAGACCAGCTGGCGGCCAGCGGCTGGTGGGATCAGGTTCACCCCGCGTTGCAGGTCCACGTTGAGGAGAAAACGAAATGGACCCGTATCTCGGCGAAGCCGCCGCAAGCCGATTGTGCGTTGCGATGGGGCGGTGTCGCGCCGAGGTTGCGGCATGACGGCGAAAACAAATTGGATGGCAGGTTCGCGCCGCCTCCCCCCCTGCGTCGCTGCCCTGGCTTCTGAGCTGGGCGCGGGCGATGGCCATGGGGCAAGGAGGTGGGTGGGCCTGCGATCCGTCGACGCCATGCTGCAGCCTCGTCGCGCCACAAGCCCATGGGCATGCCATTTTTGTTACGTCGGTGCGCCTGCCGATGAGATGATGAGAGGAGGGCTACAGGAGGATGTGGGGCACGGTATGGAGGGGGGGGGAGGCCGATGGCCTCCTCCTCCTCCTCCTCCTGACCGTGGCCCTCCTCCTCCTCCTCCACCCCCCCTCCTCCGCCTCCCTCCTCCTCCACCTTCTCCACCTCCTCCTCCCCCTCCTCCCCCTCCCCATGCTTCCTCCTCCCTCCTCCCTTCATCCATCTCTCCCTCCCCCCCTCCCTCCCCATCCTTATCTTCCTCCCCCTCCTCCTCCTCCGCCCCCCCCCCCCCCCCCTGTCCGATTCCCCCCCCCCCATCCTCCCCTTTCCCCTCCCGCCCTCTTCCTTCCTTCTCCTCCTCCTCCTCTCCCCCCATCGCCCCCCCCCCCCCCCCTGCTCCATCCACCCTTCCTCCTTCTCGCCCCATCCCTCATGTTCGTCCTCCCCCCCGCCCTCATCCCATCGCCCACCAACCTTCGATCTGCAGGGATACGAGGAGGCAGCATCGACGACGGCCAGCCTGTGCTCTCGTTTTCTGTTGGTAGACCGCGCGGGGAAAATCGTCACGGTCCAGCTTCTGCGCCTGCGCCCAGAGAGGACTTCTGGGGCGCGGGGTTCAGCCGCTCGTCGCGGCATGTGTTCAGCGGACAGATCCTCGGAACCGAGCTGGGGTCACGTGGGCGGAAGGGACTCTCATGTCTCTCCGCGCGGACGAGACATGCAAAACGGCCGCCCCTCCGACGCGTGACGTCGGCGCGGTTATGAGGAACTGTCCGCTTGGAGTCCAGACGTTAGTGTGTTTGCTGGCCGTGCGAGCTAGGCGCCGCGGACGCTCAGCTTCGGAGCGCGGCTGGCGCTGCGAGAATGGGCTGGCCGCCCGCGCTATCTGCCAGGGTGTCCTGGCGCAGTGGTGTTCGCCCCAGTGCGATGGGGCAACGTAAAACGCGATTGCCCTCCTCGACCGCCTCCTCGGTCGCGCCCTCCTCGATGGCGTCCTCCTCGTCGATTGTGCACTGGGTCGCACCCTCCTCCACCCTCCTCTCCTCATGTGCTCCTGTCGCTTGCTTCCTCGGAGATGTCCGCCACGTTCGTGGCCTTTTCGACTGTGGCCTCTTCGACCGTGGGATGTCGCTTGCTTCCTTGGAGATGTCCGCCGCGAGTGTAGTTTTCGCTAACCTTCCCCAATGGGATCCCTGGTTCGCCGCCGAGTGTCTGAGTCTGAGGTCTTAGCAGTTTGGATCGTCAAGCGAATCAGTCCGAAGCGACCTTTCGTCCGACCATTTTATAGATACGCCGCTTCGCGGAGCGTATCCGCCGCCCTATTTTCGCCAATGCGAGATACTATTTCAAATGTACTTTGGGAGTACTTGGCGGGAGTATTTCGGAAGTATTCTTGGATCACTTATGTTGTAGGGGTCTCAAGCGCGGCGGCTGCATCCATAAGTGGCGTCGTCAACATTTGGTCTACGGACAAAACCTAGGCGACTTTGTAAGATAGCGGAAGGGGTTGCAGAAGGGGCCGCAGTGTGGCAGGCGCCAAGGCGGGCGCGCAACTCGCAGCAACCGTGGGCTGTGCGAGCGGGGCAGCACGTGCAGCATCCGGGGCGTCAGACTCGGCAGCGGCAGCGGCAGGCTTTGTGTGCAGCTGGTCTTACTTCTGGACGGGGCCGTTCACAGAGGCCAGCACAAGCAGGGAACGTTTGGAACCCTCGATCCTCGACCCTCCACGACGGCGGGTCGTCCTTTTTTCTGGAGGCTTGAAGATGGGTACCGGCACCATCACAGGGGTTTGCCTCCACCAGGGGAAGATGCTCCTAGATCTTGGTGTCGGTGGTAACGTTTCGATCACCCAGGAATCTGGAATGTTTTCACGATCGCCGAGTTCGCGACCATCTTCTCTCGGCGGAGGCAACCGCCAACACTGGTAGTTGTGCCAACTTCTGGTCCTCCGAAATCGGTCCGTGCCAGATCGGACCCAGGCACCCAATGTCTTGTTTTTTGTTAATGCGGGGTCCCTGGAGGTCCCCACCCTTCCCAAGGGGCAAGTTCTCATCGTGAGTTGCTGCTTGACAGTCCCGGGGCCCGGCGAGGGCCCACGAAGGCCGAGAACGACGGAAGGTTTCCGTCTCGATGTGTTTCTGACACGCCAGACGTTTGGGGATCGACATCGGCATCGACACCCGGGGATCGGATCGGTCGGTGGAGGGCTGGGACAATCAACGACGGCGAGGCGCCCTTCCGAACCCTCCCCCCCGGGGCCGGGCGCGGCGAGGCGAGAGATGGCCTCCAGCCCCCGCCGCCTCGGCGGCCTGCGCGCTAACACCGCCGCGGCGGCGGCGCCGAACGAGGGCTCCCGGCGGGAGGCGGGCGGCTCAGAATTGGGCGACAGATGGGGGGGGGGGGGGGGAGAGGGACATTTTTCAGGCCCTACGAAGGGCCTGCTGTGAGGCCGTAAAGGGCCCCTCGAGGAGCCCTAGAGGGCGCCATTTCTGCAGCCCTCGCTGCCCCCTGAATTGATCGTCCCCCAATCACGCGACGCCCAACAGGACAGTCGCCATGGGGGAAGCGCGCCTTGAGGGAAACGGGCCCTGAGGTTTCTCGCCGTTTGAGGGCTCTCGGGGCCGCTCACGGGCCCCAGGACTGTCAGGAAACGACTCGGGATGAAGAGTTGGTCCTGGGGGAAGGCCCTAAAGTCCAGGACCCGTTTCCCTCAGGAGCTGTTTTCCCCCATGTTAGTAACAGAGGGCCGGGGGCGTCCAAGAGTCGCCATGGACCAGTGCGTGATATCTCCGGCATGGAGCTCACGCGCCCCCGAGGTTGCGAGCCGTGTCTTCGCACTATCTTATAATTGGACGCGTTTCCGCCTCGATCAGCCCGCCTGTCTCGCACTATTGATGATGCGTTCGCTTGCGGAGGCTGTAGTCGTTGGGGTGTCCGATCTCCTCCCAACAAAAAATATCCCAGTGCGACCCTACATAGGAGTTGGAGCATTTAGGAAAGCAACATCTACATCTGCACCGACAGCTACATTTACATCTACGCCTGCATCTACATCTACATCAACATCAACAGCGAGACTCACATCTACATCTGCACCTACATCTACACCTACATCTACATCTACATCTACATCTATATCTGCACCTACACCTACACCTTCATCTACACCTACACCTACATCTACATCTACATATATGTCTACATCTACACGTTCGCATTGGTTTTGCTTTTGCGTTGCATTGCCTTGTTTGCCTTGCTATGCTATGCTATGTATTATATGTTATGATATGCGGCGCTATGCTATGCTATGGTATGCTGTGCTATGCTATGCTGCGCTGTGCTATGCTAGACAATGCTATACTGTGCTATGCTATGCCATGCTGCGCTATGCTATGCTATGCCATGCTGAGCTATGCTATGCTATGATATGCTTGGCTATACTATGCTATGATGTGCGATGCTGTGCGAATGTTGCGCTAAGCTAAGGTAAGCTAAGCTATGCTAAGCTAGGCTAGGCTAGGCTAAGCTAAGCCGAGCTAGACCAAGCTAAGCTAAGCTAAGCTAAACTAAGATGATATACGGCAAGCTAAGCTAAGCTAAGCTAAGCTAAGCTACGCTAAGCTAAGCTAAGCTAAGCTAAGCTAAGCTAAGCTAAGCTAGGCAAAGCAAAGCTAAGCTAAGCTAAGCTAAGCTAAGATGACATAAGCTAAGCTAAAATGAGATAAGCAACGCTAAGCTAAGGGAACGTCACTGGGGGAACCGCGGGGCGGATCCTGGGGGAACCGCCCGGGGCGGGGAGCACTGCCCGGCCCTTTAAGCATACAGGGTAAGAACCTTTCTAGGCAGAGCCTAGGTATGGAAATACAAGAACATACCAAACCACCCCAACCCAATCCGAAGGCCCCGAGTTGCCCTACATTCTGAGTTTTGGGGGGGGGCTTCCCGCAGCATTGTAAAAGCAGGGATGGGATTTGGGGCTTCGGGTTGGGTTGTGGTAGTCTGGTAGGTAGTCATTCTCAGGCCGCGAACCAAGCCTCTGTGTCGGTCTTGGACGTGGCCGCGGCGATGGCGGCGGCCACACATCGGGGCAGGGTTTCTATCAAGGAGCGGGCGGCATGCCCACGCTCGGCGATGTAGACGTGGCGCACGCTTGTCCATATGACGGTAGAGGGTTGTTAAATTATGTCCGCAATGGGCAGCCCTGCAATGTTGAGGTGGCAATCGAGAAACAAGAAATGCTATACACATACACTTTAAGCGCTCCACGCGCATTGCCTGGATCGGAGCTTGGCCACCTTGGCGGCGCCTCTGGCGCCGCCCCTGGCGCACTCCGCGCGCCAGGGAGGGGGGGGGGCAACGCCGATCCAAGAAATCCGCCCGGAGCTGCGAAGGCTGATGCTTATGGAGCCCAGTCACGGGGGCCCAGCGCCAGGGAGAGACGGGGGCGGCCGGCCACGAGTCGCCATGGAGGAAATTGGTCTTGACGGAAGCGGGTCATGAGGTGTTTTTTCGTTTGGGGGGGGACTCCCGGGGTCCTCCAAGATCTGTCAGAGCACAGCTCAGGATGAAGTTGTTGTTCTGGGAGAAGGCGCCAGGGTCCAGGAGCAGGATCGGAGGCGTCCAAGAGGGGTGTGATGACTAGGGGGGGGGATACCATGGCGGGGGCCATGAAACCTCCCCAAATCTCATGGACCCTCCTCTTTGCTCAAAGCCTCCCTTGTTCCCCCCCTCGTCCGCGCACATGCCCCTGAAACAGTTGCGACGCACAGGTCTCCAGTTCATGTCGACAGGCTTGCAGGCATGCAGGCAACATTTCGAGATCAGCATTTCGAGGTCGGGCCCATCTGGCTTGCGGTACAGGCTCCAGAAGGGGCTATGTTTATTCAGGTATTTCCACGGGTCTACATTTGACGTTCCCAGTGCGTGGCTGACGCCCAGGATTAGAAAACATGCAGCGCCCTGTGCGAAAAAAAATACAACGCCTGGATATCAGGGGGATGTCCGTTTTGTTCTCGTCGCCCACGCGGAGCCTAGACATTTTCCTATGATATGTTGCTGTTCCGTCCGTGGACCCAGAGGCTCCGACCTTTTCCCCCAGGGTCGATGTTCGCCCAGATCCGTGTTTGATGGCCCCCTCAAGGGCCAACTGGCGTCGTCGTTTTCGTCGTCGTCGTCGACGTCGTCGTCGTCCGTTTTGGCTCAAGACTCTTGCTGAGTCTGTGGTTGTTGTGCCTGGGAAGTCTCCTTTACGCTACCTGCGTCATCTTCTTTCACAATCTTTCTGTAGTTGCCCCGCACACACGTTTTGCCTCTCCTGCGGGGATATCGTCCAGAGAACGGTTCGCGATGACTCTCCCAGATGACTTGATGGGTGGAGATGAGATTGAGCAGACCCGGGACGCGAAGTTGAGGCGGGTCGCTGACTACAGGGGAAGTGCTGGTGTGGTTGCTGCGCTCAGGGGAGGACCCGCCCCCGCCGCCGCGAACCACTTCGACCCGTGGAAAGGCTATAAGGCACCCGCTGAGCCTAGTCACCCTGGTCCTCCGCGTGGGCCTTCTGCCGCCGCTTTGCCCCCAGCCCAGCCTCCCGAAGGTCTGGATCCTGGTCAGAGCAAGTTGTTCGCAGCTCTCTCGCAGGACTTCAGGAGCGTCCTGCGTGAGTCAATCAGTCCCCTGGACGCCAAGCTTGAGGTTGTGAACCAGAAAGTGGCGAAGACCGACAACGAAGTTGCCACCCTGAAGGGCGACATCGCCAGCCTGAAGTCCAGAATGGCAGTTGTGGGGTCTGGGGCGAGTGCAGCTAGAACACACACGTCTGCTGCCTCAGTGGCTTCTGTGGGAAGTGGAGGCACGGATGTCTCAACGGCTGCGCCACCAGCGAGCAGATTGTCTATGGGAACGAGGAAGACACTCTGCATCGGCGACCGGATCTACCCTGAGGGGGCCGAGCTGGCGAACGAGATGCGCGAGGTGTTGAGGAGTGCCCACATCCAGGGAGTCGCTAGAGTATACCCAGCAGGATCCTACACGGATCGAGTCAAGGGTGAGCTAATGAATGAACACTAAATGTGAAACGTGCGCTTGATTTTGATGAAGGGGGAGAAGTTCACCAGCTCCCTCGCCGAGAAGTGGACACAGTGGACAGTAACAAACGGAAGTTGTGGCACAGCACCGACAAGCACACGGACGATATTGCATGTTTCAGTCGCGCGGCCCACGCGAAAGATTTGATCCAAATTGTCTCCACAGCGAAGTTGCCGACACACGACATGCAGGCGCTGACAAACTCTCTGGACGCGCTGAAGGACATGGGGACGGTCGTCGCGCAAGCATCTGCCTCAGGAGGTGCAGCCGAGGGAGCCGATCCGCTTGCTGACGCGTTCGCTTCCCTCATATCTGCGGCGGTTCGCAAAGGGGGGTCGCGCTTGATTAAACATCATGGGAGTGCAGATCGACCTGGCCGCCAACTTGGTCCAGATAGATGACCCGCCACGCAGATCTGGACTATCTGTAGAGGGCCGCGCTCACACAAGCGACGACGCCGAGATCATCTCGTGAAACGGCCGTGGAGTTCCCATGAAGGGTGTCGCAGGGGTCCTGGACAAGCTGGAGCGCGAATTATTTTGGAATGTGGTCTGTTTTCAAGAATTCACGGAGACCGACCTTGCAACGCCCGAGATAGCTGGCCATGCAGAAATCCTAGGGGCCCACAGCGGGAGGCGGAAGAGGATACCCTGTTTTGTAGCGCATAAGACGTTCACGGCTTGCCTCATCGGGAAGCCATTGTTCAGATGATCGCGCCGAGCGTTAGGAGTTCACACAGCTCGTGGAAAGCTTCGGACTGCACGCCTCGATCCCGGCTCCCACAACCATGCCTTCTACGCCCAAGACCTCCAGGAGTGCCAGCAGCTGGTTGATTTGACACAGTCAGTTTTCAGGCCAGTAATCTGTGCCGATGCGAACGCCTCCGTTGGCAAGAGGGGTGATCCGACTCGCGAACTGGGGCCATGCGCAGCAGGAGTGCGCTTGTGAAAAGCAAACTACCTTCGGAAATGTCTGATCTCGAACGACACGATCGCAGCCAACGCCTGGGGCAAACCAGCGATGGGCATCGCGACCTGCATCCACGACGGTCGGTCCCCCACTGCCAGCTACAATGCCCAGACGGCGAAGTCGGACCACGCGCCCGCGGTGCTTCGTTTTTTTCGCCGAGCGCCGGCCCCAGATTGCCTTCGCACCAATGTGCGAGCATTGCTGCACGTCGAAACCCGCGAGCTGCTGGGCCATACTTTTAGTGCTCAGCTCGACGACAGATATGACATTTCAGGACGGCTGAGAACAGACATCTCGCCCGACCAAGTAA